GCTTAGCACATGGCCAGCCCCAGCTGCCTATCTACATGATTTTCAGGTAGCCAGTAGCTTGTAGTAATCAGATGATTACCTTATATACCACCGGACGAGTACAATTTGACAAGCAAACCAAACTTGCACAGTGGTGAGGGTAGATCATCCAGCCAATGTCTAAAATGGCAAAAAAAAAAAAAAATTCAACCTGGAATATATATATATATATATATATATATATATATATATTAGCCGAGATACCCGGCGTTGCCCGGATGTACATGGCTGCAATTGTTTAGCCGCACCCATCTGTATACCCGCAGCCCCTGTCTAGAAATGTCTTCCTGCTTACCCCGCTTGCATGCATCATCCGTTGGTATATTAAACTACTTCCCCTTAATCTTTTTTACGATGTCTTTCGCATGTGTTTGATTGTTCTTAATAAATTAATTCCATCGATAAAATTTTCATGTGTGGTCGTTGCTCGGAGTTAAATTGTTTCAATGTTTTAGATATTCAGTAAATTTCCTATGTCTGTAATAGCTTTCAAATAGTATGGCATTGTTCACACATCTAATAATCAAACAAAAACAGGGATGAAGCGTCAGAACTTGATTCAACTGCAAGTGCAAACGAATGAAGTCGCGCCCTCCTTTATCGCACGTTTACTGTGAATCTGGGGTTAATAAGAGTTTCTTCGGAAATATTTCCCTTTTAACACTTCAATAATCCTTCTCAGAGAATCTTTGCATTACGGGCTGTTCGCATGCTAGTTTAGGATGGAATAATATGAAAACACTATTGGCTAAATGGCAAAAGCCCATTTTTGACCTAGTTTGTCGCACATTTCGTCCATTTAACTGAAATAATCTAAAGTAACCACTAATGTAAGAGAATTTGTATGTCATATGAAATTTACATGGCAAATTTGGAAAGCATCGCATCAAAAATCATGGAGTTATGACCGAAAAAAGTGCTTTTTGAACAAGTTTCGTGGTTTTTCGTTATACGCATGAAATTGAGCAGGAATAAAACCATACTCTTATTTCTTGCATGATGGCAATTTTTCGCGACATATTTGAAGAAAATCGAATAAAATCAGAAAGTTATTCAAGTTTTTAATTTAGATAGAACGAAAAACTCGGTTTCACGTGTCCCTTCGCCGAAGGTTTAAAAAGTGAGATCATTCAACTCGGCTTCACGTATCCCTTCGCCGAAGCTTTAACAAGTGAATATTCAACTCGGCTTCACGTGCCCCTCGCCGAAGGTTTTACAAGTGAGATCCTTCAACTCGGCTTCACGTGTCCTTTTGCCGAAGGTTTAACAAGGGAGATCATTCAACTCGGCTTCACGTGTCCCTTCGCCGTTTTTCACAGAGTTTTGCAATTTTTTGTGTAAAGCCAATGTCGCAGGAAAACTATCAAGCACTCTACATTAACCTTGTAACATGAGCTATTTTATTTCATTAAGTACAAAGAATATCGATTCATCCCATAAAAAACTTTGTTCGCGTCTAACTTTGCCTTGGTTTTTGCATGACGTCGTACTTACCGTCAATTTTATAGATTTTTCTGCCAAACCCCGAGGTATAGGAGATTAAAAAGCTTCTCTTGACCTAAATCAATAAATTTGGAACAGGTATTTATAATTTTATCGAAATCATTTCAGAAATGTGGACCTGCATAAACAGCATACACACACACTAGAGACTGACATCTTATGTTTTATATATATATATATATATATATATATATAGATAGATAGATAGATAGATGCTCCTGAAAAAAATATTTCGGTTGAGCTCTCTGGGGAAGGAAATGTGAGTTTGTAAACAGTGACTATAACGACTGATAGTGCAAGACTCTTGAAGCGAATCGAGTCCTCTCGGTCACTGTGTGTTTATCTAAAAATAAATGCGCTTAAAAATTCACCTTTTCCCTGACGTGTGCCCACGGCTTAGGGGTAAAATCTCCGATTGACACCAATTCAGCCGTGTTTCGATCCTAGCTAGAGGCAACTGGACGTCTAGCCACATTGATGAGCTATGATACAGCGAAACAATCTCTCTGTGGATGACTCTCTCTCTCTCTATATATATATATATTATGAAATGGACTAAGCCAAACATTAATATACTTTTTAGTTTATATGTTATTTTTATAGATACAAATATTTAAGTATATTCCCTGTTTATAATACACGGTATGAACAGCATTTACCGGCCTGAATGTCCGAGAAATGTCATAGAAAATATGTGTCCTCCGACAGGAATCGAACCTGTATCTTACACAGAACCGTCATATAACCTGACGTGCTATACCATTTAGCTACAGATGAAGCGTCTGGTTAGTAAGGTTATTCAAAAATAATAATTTAACCTCGCTAACTAGACACTTCCTCTGTAGCTAAACTGGTATAGCCCATCAGGCTATATGACGGTTCTGTTGCTGTTGCGAAACGTAGGTTGGCCGTTTCGCGAAAGTAAACTAGCTGACGAGATCTTACAATTCATTTTACCTCGATCTTAGATTCCTCCGTTGGTATATAAAAATATTATTGTTATATACCATACCTAAGAACACTAATGTGTATGTCCCAATCTTCATAAATACGTTGGATACTGTTATGGGGTCCTCCCCTTTTTCATATAAGTGGACTCGACCAAAGTTTTATTTGGACTGCTGCCGTTAAATACCAAGAGTTAGACAGTCAGAGATTGGGATAGAAGACTGAGATTGTGATTGAGTTGGAGGTAGAGTAATAGTGCGAGGTAACCGCTTGTAGAAGTCAGTTACAAGCACGTAGACTCTAAGGAAGTCCTACTTCGAGACTGTATATATCTATATATTATTGCTACTAACCACGTTCCTGGATTTACTAACAGTATTACCATTTGTATTATTGTGTAAATACATTTTATTTCATATCTTTAATTCTTGCGTTTGTCATTTCATCTCGGAATCCACAACAGATACTATTGTAAGGGGGGCGCGAGTAATATGGTGTCTACGTAGTCCACCACTGGCAGTGGTTTACCTACTTCACGCCGCTGGCGAGTATTGCACTTTTTTTGATGTTATAAAGATTACCTTTTCATTTCCTACCTGTTTTGGTTATTCCTCATTTAGTAACCCCCGCTAGGTTACAACAAAATATACTGTCTATTTCTGTTATTTAACGTGTTATTGTTCTTTTTTTTTTACTGGATACCCGTGTTTGAAATAGACTCCTCGTTCTTATACTAAATAGTGCATATTACGTCTATCGTCTTGCGGTATCGTCTATCGTCTTGCGAGAAATTTTAATAACGAAAACGTGCTCTTCGACAGGGTTCAAACGTGTGTCTCCCTTTGGAGTGCAAAACACGGTTTGATCTGGCTTACTTTAAACCGCTCGTTCACTGAGAACGTCACAGACCAGCAAGGTACAAGTTTTCCCTTTTAAGGAACGTATACTCCATCTTTACAGACGTAATAATAATTAATATCCGGTTAAGAATAATTCCATTATTTAGAAATTATACAGTATATATATAAAGGGTGACAATAAAGTCATTATACATTTACTTATAATAAAAAAAAAGCAAAGCATTGAAGCAGGTGGTTCGAAAAGTATCGGTAATAATTTACTATTATTTACCATAGATGTGTATTGTTATTAAACAGAATTGACCAGAATCATTTTAATAATAGATTTGTGTACTGTTGATTAATTACTTTATCTTCTTTGTTATTGTAAGTAACTGTATGGTGACTTTATTGTCACACTCTATATGCACGTATAAAACTCGATGTGAGGTAATGGTTGACGATTAGTAGTGGGTTCGATCCACACTGTGTCATACAACATTAAACATTACATTATCGTTGTAAATATATATATATATATATATGTGTGTGTGTGTGTGTAAAATGAGAAGGAATAGAATCCAATTGCATTTGTGTGGCGTTTTTATATGTTTTTAATGTAATATCCTAAAATAAATATATATATATATATATATATATATATATATATATATATATATATATATATAAAGTGAACATAGAAGTCAAGATATAGAGGCGACAGTCTTTTTCATGCTATATGTAAATCGTCAGGCCTATGTTCACTTTTATATTTACACAAATCTATCTCTGATATTGAGCACTTTATCCCATAAATATAGCACACCTTAAGACTATATATATATATATATATATATATATATATATATGAATGTTTCATTAAAAATGACAGACAAGGTACTACGGTTGAGCTTTTTATTTAATTTTTCTTGTGTTCTGACAAGAGCTTTATTTTCTGGACAAATTTCTCATAAATAATTACATCGGTTACACAACCACATGTTTATCCAGACGTCTTACGTTACACCTATCTGATCACAGCTCCATTAGAACCCATTTAAACACACACTCAGATTTACCCGACATCATTAGGAACATACTAGTAGAAAACACAAATATATTAACTGCATCCACCTGTAAAAAAAGACTAAAAAATATGGAAGCTCTAATAATAAAAAAGAAAAAGCCAACTCTTAACAATATTAACTATGAACAAAGCCACAATGTGCTAACCGTATTCGGAAATTAAAAACATCCCTACCACACACTGATACATACACAGAACGCTCACACTCAACTAAGCTGATAATTGAATCTTCCTTGATAATGGCTAAAGGTATAGCCGAAAGCGCTCGGAAATATAAAACATTCGGACAGTTCTTACACATCCTTTGTCCAGAAAAGAAAGCTCTTGTCAGAACACAAGAAAAATTAAATAAAAAGCTCAACCGTAGTACCTTGTCTGTCGTTTTTAATGAAACATGCATACCTAAATATACAATGCAATATTGCTGCCTAAATATACAATATATATATATATATATATATATATATATATATATATATATATATATATATATATATGAGTCGAGTTGATTCATCTCCTTGGTTAAACATTAGGCAAAGGGACTCGAGATTCGGTGTCCGAGGATTGAACTATTTAAACATTCGTCAAAGGGACGCAAGGAAGCTGAGAGGAATCTTCTTACTGGTTAAACATTCGACGAAGGTACATGGAACTCTGAGTTGGATCATTGAACCAGTTAAACATAAGGCGTAGGGACACAGCAAGCCGAGTTGAATGATGTCACTTGTTAAAGCTTCGGCAAGGGGGACGTAAAGGCGAGTTGAATGCTCACTTGTTAAAGCTTCGAGTTGAATGATCTCACACGTTAAGTCTTCGGCGAAGGAATACGTGAAGCCGAGTTGATTGATCTCACTTGTTAAACCTTCGGTGAAGGGACACGTGAAGCCGAGTTGAATGATCTCACTTGTTAAAGCTTCGACGAAGGGACACGTGAAGCCGAGTTGAATGATCTCACTTGTTAAACCTTCGGTGAAGGGACACGTGAAGCCGAGTTGAATGATCTCACTTGTTAAAGCTTCGACGAAGGGACACGTGAAGCCGAGTTGAATGATCTCACTTGTTAAACCTTCGGTGAAGAGACACGTGAAGCCGAGTTGATTGATCTCACTTGTTAAACCTTCGGCGAAGGGACACGTGAAGCCGTGTTTAATAATCACACTTTTTAAAGCTTCGGCGAAGGGACACGTGAATCCGAGTTGAATGATCTCACTTATTAAACCTTCGGCGAAGGGACACGTGAAGCCGAGTTGAATCAACATTCAGTGAAGTGTCGTGAGTCCATTCATCTTCTTGCTTCCTGATCCTCCATCGATTGTGATTCTTTTCTCTTTATTCGTTAATTATACAAATTATTGCTCAGATTCTGTTTCTCCGTTTGTGTGGCTATTGCTATCTTTGAATTGCACGTTCAAGAGTGAATTCATCATTTATTTAATTACTTTTATGTTATATCACGGTGGTCATGGGTATATATTCCGTTGTCGTAAGATGTCGGCGTGTTATTACCATTTCAGCTGTGATTTAAAAAGTCACATTCCAGAAGTGTCGTTACTTTTTTAGGTGAGGCAGTTGCAACTAGCCTAGATTATTGTAATTTTAGTATATAATTGCTACACATCTCACAAGCTGACCTGCCAACCTTTGTGTATTATTGCACAGATAATGCAAAAATCAATCACGCCTGTTTTTCTTTTTCAGCTTTCTGCCATAATTAAGATCATTTTGTTTAATTGATTGCAAGTGAAAGATTATCCAGTAATTGTATTTTAGAACATTTATATGCTAACCACCCCAACAATTGGAAAAAATTGGCATTAATAACTTAAACCTTCATGTAATTGACGGCGTTAAACACATTGAGAATTTACTGTTAGCATCGACATCACAGATTTGATAACTTTTCAGCTTTAGAGATTAAAGCGCTGTCTAATTTGGAATGTATCCAATATGGGTTTTCCGAAGCTATATAAATGAATTCTGAGTCTAAGAAACAGCTGTAAGCAATTAAAACTATAACGTTATTCAAATAGATCATTTCGAAGTTAAAATGTCAACAGTAATGCGTTTGACTTGAAGAGATTGCAGGCTATAAATACACGGCATAACATTTCGCCTAATTGGTTTCTTTAAATCTTCCTAGTTCACTTTTATTCGTCTCATGTCTGGAAATGCTGATGCTTTGTACGACAAGTGAGTAGAAACGATGGATGTTTATATATGTTTGTTTAATCTCTGGAGCGACAGACTCTTCAGCGCTATGTGGCCGTCAACCGACTAAAGAATAAAGAAAAGAATCCCTAGTTGTTGGTGTGTAAATCCAATTAAAAAATGGCGGCAATTTGCTTGAAGGAGACGTTAATTTGCATTGGAAGTGGCACAAGTTCCAGACCGATCTGTCGCCGCAGCGAGACGCTGGTAACTCTGTTTATAGTGGCTTCTATCATTGGCATTTAACCTTGTCTTCCCCAACGATTCACTTTTAGATATTTGCGGTAGTTTGCGATTTTTATGTTAAAATGACACTGGTTAATGTTACCGTTATTGTCACGAAGTTAATCCCACTTTTCACCGGAAGTAACATCAGTGGAACAGCCAATCCACTGTCACTAAGTCAAACCATCCTTCTTTTTTTTTTTTTTTTTTTTTTTTTTTTTTTTTGCTTATGGCGTACGCTACTGCCAAACTGTAGCTAAAAAAATAGGAGAACGCAGTTTGAACGCGGTTGATTCTAATTTCCCTGTCGACCCCTGTTACGCCACCCGGATATGTAATAAGAGTTAAATAATCTTATGCAGTGTTAAAATAAATGTACTTCACTGTCCCCGGTATTTAACCAACCTTCCCACAAGGCAGGATATGACACAAGGCCACTTCTTAACTTGGGGCGTTCCGAGCTCGTAGAATCAGGCAAAAATTGCCTGTAGACCCGTATACACGGGGTCAGGTTTGTCTACCTCCCCAGTCGATGACCCATTAAACCTATTTATTTGTGCCGATGACCCATTAAACCTATTTATTTGTACCGATAACCCATTAAACCTTTTTATTCGTGCCGGTGACCCATTAAACCGATTTATTTGTACCGATGACCCATTAAACCTATTTATTTGTGCCGATGACCCATTAAACCTATTTATTTGTGCCGATGACCCATTAAACCTATTTATTTGTACCGATGACCCATTAAACCAATTTATTTGTACCGATGACCCATTAAACCTATTTATTTCTGCCGATGACCCATTAAACCTACTTATTTGTACCGATGACCCATTAAACCTATTTATTTGTACCGATAACCCATTAAACCTATTTATTCGTGCCGGTGACCCATTAAACCGATTTATTTGTACCGATTAAACCGATTTATTTGTACCGATGACCCATTAAACCAATTTATTTGTGCCGATGACCCCCATTTTAAACCTAATTTATTTGTACCGATGACCCATTAAACCAATTTATTTGTACCGATGACCCATTAAACCTATTTATTTCTGCCGATGACCCATTAAACCTACTTATTTGTACCGATGACCCATTAAACCTATTTATTTGTGCCGATGACCCATTAAACTCCACCGCGCACAGCTGGATCTTTCTACAATTTCAGTGGAAAAATAATTTATCTTTCTTTGAATTTACCATAATGTTTAAAGATTTTCTAAGAAGTTTATTTTCCTGTTAAGGTGCACATTTTAAGGTTTGGGGCCCAGACTTAAAAGTTGCTCATCAAAGGATGCAGAAAGACTAATCTTGGATCGAACTGATGATTTTTATTTTAAAGCACAAAGACCTTAAAAGATTCAAGGCTGTCATATAAAAACGAATAGGGATATATGTTACAGGACAGATCCCTCAGAAAGGAACATGTCGGAAGCACAGTCACAATCATTTCTGGAAGAGTAGAAAGATTTTTATGTGAATTTCTGGTGTAAGCAGTTATCATTGTTTGTATTATTTAGGTACAGACTAATGTCCTTATGCTGTTATCTGTCTATTAATCTATTTTGCTCTGCTCGTATCTATCTATCTATCTTGATCTACTTTTTCTATCTATCTATCTATCTATCTATCTATCTATCTATCTATCTATCTATCTATCTATCTATCTTGATCTGCTTCTTTCTATCTATCTATCTATTTTGGTCTGTTATATATATATATATATATATATATATATATATATATATATATATATATATATATATTTTCGGTTTGCTCGTATCTATCTAGGTATGTCTTATCTATCTATCTATCTATCTATCTATCTATCTATCTCAGCCTTCTCGTATCTATCTATCTATTTTAAAGGTTTGCTCGTATCTATCGATGTATGTATTATCTATCTATTTATCTATCTATCTTGATCCACTTTTTCTATCTATCTATCTATGTCATTTTTTTTCATATCTATCTCAGTCTGTTCATATCTATCTATCTATCTATCTATCTATCTATCTATCTATCTATCTATCTATTTTACTCTATTCTATCTATCTATCTATCTATCTATCTATTTAGTAACTTTGTTAATCCTCTGTGATTTCTGTTTGAATTTCTGGGATGATGAGTTTACATTATTTGCATTCAGTCAAAGCTAGACTTTAGGCTACAGTTGCATGAGTAAATCCGTCATATACGAATTTTGAGTAGATATTATCGACGCGTAAAAACTGCTGGTACGCTCAGTTGATGCAAAATAACGGATTCGCTGGTGATCGAACGAAATAGATGTTTCACAACGATGGCGGATCCTGAATCAAATTACATCGCAATACAACGTTGGTCAACGCACTGTACAGTTCACTCTGCGTGTAACAATGTGTGTTGGGAGAAGATGAAAATAAGTTCAGTTTAAGCATTAGGGACAAAAAAATAAGATGCAACTAATAAAATGTTGTTGAAAATATATCATAGTTCTGGGATATTTGCGATATTTACTAAAGGCCAAATATTTGGGGCCACTCAGCATTTCTTAAAAAGAACGTCTAGAGGACCGGGTTGGTTTGAGTGTTGTTAAATTAGGGACACGGGCTGTTTATTCCTGCTAGAAGGAATAACAGGAAAATAAACATCTTAGAAAATGTTTAAACATTATATTAAATTCAAAGAGAGATTCATTATTTTTTTTTCCACTGAAAGTGTAGAAAGCTGTGCGCAGTGGAGTTTATTGGGTCATCGGCATAATTTATTTAGATTTCCTTCCCGTTTTGTCATTTACCGACTAAACTAATTCGATGTCAATCGGTAAATCTACATTTGCCCTGTACTCTAATTCAAAGAAAATCACGCCCCCCTCACAAAAACGCCTGTACATTCTCGCATCTACACATAAATGTAAAAATACGCCCATTTAATGACACACGTACATAAATTCTATCCTTTGTTTACTTTAATTTTCGAAAGCAGTCACTACAAATTAATTCATACTAATTTATTTAGATTTCCTTCCCGTTTTGTCATTTACCGACTAACCTAAATTCGATGGCCTAATAAAAATAAATGGATACATAATTATACTATCAACTCAATTAAGTAACCTATACACATATTTGCTATCTGTTAAAATTTCTCAAAATAAATCTAACCAATTAGTAGTAATATCGACTCTCGAAATTCCCAGACTATTATTGCTACGAAACTATATCTTTCTCTCCTAATCCGGTCATGATAAATATGCAATTAGGCATTAATTATGAAATATCAACAAATATATGTATAAAACAACAAATTTACAAGTGACGAATACATTAATATTTGTGTTTGTGTGTGGACTTAAAGAGTTTGTATTTTGGTGAATGTTCGTACGTACGTCTATGTGTGTTTCATAGCGTTTTCCCATAAGTGGGCGAAAATGCAGATCTTTAAGAGAGATCACATTTTTAAATGTGTCCGCTGAAATGCAAAGTAGAAAAGGTTATTTATTTCTGTGCTATAACAGAAAATGTGGCACAAGGCCAAAGTGGGGAATGGGGAAAAAGGTCGGTCTTCTCTCTTAACTTCTAAACTTAGCTAGACACAAACGCTGACCCAATCATACTAACTAACAATATTTCTTGCACCAAAACAACACATTCTTATCTCCTTTCTCACCACACCCACCATAATACCTCAATGACTCCATGAAAATAGTAACTAGACCCCATATGTACAATTTGTGGTCTGTCGGGGGAGGGGATTAAAACAACAATTTAAAAAGTAACCCCAATGAGTATTTACAGTATGAAACAAATAACTATTTACAAGAAACTAAACA